TCTGTGGCTTCATATACAACAGCACCAGGTTGAGCTGTTGCTCTTTGCATTTTTGATGTTTCATAAAGGTGGATAGACACACTTGGTGGTCACAACATTACGAGCAGTGTAATTAGGTCCGTGCTTGTGCTTTGCTTGTATGTTACAATAAAAGTAGTTTTTAAAACAAACCGATGTCACTTTGACCTGTATAGCTAAAAAACGATTATAATAAATGTTATGCAGGTATTGCTTTATGCCTATTTCATTTAGGCGAATGGTTTGCTTAAATGGTGTTGTAAGTTGGTTTTTGATACAATATAAATGTTCTTAAACCTTTTCTGACTGTACAGCTAATGTATTTTGAAAGCACCTCATGGCAGACATGATTGCAGCAGGTATTGCGCTTGAATAATTCACAAGAAATTACGTACTTTGTATCACAGGCTGTGTGCACTTACAAGTCTCTAAAAGCATGGTGACAGTATGGGGACAAGTTTTTTTTTTTTTCAGTCCAACAAAACGTCGCGGGCTATTCACTAGTGAGAATGGAAAGTTTCTGTCTTTTTTAACTCATCTTATCACTTGGTGGTTAAAAGAAGCATGAGTAGCATATCGTACGTTTTTCAGTCTACTCGTCTCTCTAAAACATCGAATTTCGTTCGTCTTGATTCTGCGAATCAGTCTCTTTTTCTTAAGTGTGTGTGTGTGCTTGCGGAAGGGGTGCACACCACCTGTCTCCCCATGTCACTTGTAGATTTTATATTGTTTTTAGAAATAATGCTTCATAATCTGAAGCTGGCAGAATGCATCAGTGCTAGAGTTGGCGCTTGTAGTGCATGTGAGTGAGTTATGTCATTCTGCCACTTGCATGAAGAAATGCCTAGACGATGTAGTGCGGAACGCGTTTGTTAGCTTTGATTTGGACAAACTTACATTCAACTCAATGCAACACTACGTGGACTAGAAGTCACAGGTCTTAGTGGAATGAAAAAGATGCAACGAGCAAGGCTAAAAAGGAAGAAATCATCAAGTGTGGTCAATACAGAACTAGGTTTACTTAAAAAATTTCTCTCGAGCTGTGTGTGTGTCTTTCAGCATAAGTCCCCAGTTTTACAGCTCATGCAGACCACACTGTGCTATAGGGGACTCTTTTTTTTTATTTTTAGAGAAAGAAAAAGCCCCATATAGCAAAAGTTAACTAAAATATATTTACATGGTTCAAAGCAATAATCTTATAAAGGCACTAACAACCATTTTTGTCGCACGTGTTTGCTTTAGTTCAATGGGAATTCAGTGTCCAGTCATGAAAATTAATAATGAATGCACCGTGAAACATTTTAATAATTTGGGAATCAATGGCCACTATGAAGTTTCCAAACACAACAGACTGCAAAAAGTAAGCAGTGAGCTCGTCAGCAATACATGTTTGGGCACTACAGTTCAGTGCACATTTTGCCTTAAAACCCGGGCTTGCATTTAGCAAGAATGTGTTGCATCCTGATATGTTGCGCTTGTCAAGATGGCAAAGTTACTTCTCAGCATCAACTCAATGTCCTGTAAGCAGCACAAAATAGAGGGGGGGATAAGTGGGGACGTAATAGCAAGCGGTCTTTGGCACTCAATATGGTGCCCAGAAAAGCATAAAAACATGTACAGCAAACAAAATGACTCAATAGCATGGCGCCAAACCTCATCTGCTGGAATTCACGATTTGCTGTTAATTGAAAGCTTCAATCCCTATTTAAAAATATAATCCTACCAAAATTACGAAAAGCATGCACTACGATTGGTGGTCTTCTTGTTTCCACCAGGACGTAATCGCACGTTCTGGCTCGAAATAGCCGCTAATGTCTATTAGCGTCTATTAGCGACTCGAAAGCTTTGGGTTCGATTCCAGCTTGGACCCTGACAATTATTCTTTGCATTCGCTGGGTCGACGCTACCGATGTTGGGTACTTCCTGATGCTTATGCGTTAAAATTGCCTATGTGTGTTTTCATCGTCCCTAGGTAGATACTATGTGTGAATCACTTGTGCCACATACCCACATACCAGCGGCACATACCTGCCCGTGGGCATGTGCCATTGTCTGGCGGAAAGTGTACGACGTTGTACGCGACGGGATTGGGAAAGTATTTATGTCTTGACCATGGCGTCATTTTGGTCAAACCAAATTACCTTCCATCGCCAATTATGGTTCACGCCAAGTCAAGGGATGACCACGAGAGCACCCGAAGGTATGCGAGGTAGATAGATAGATAGATAGATAGATAGATAGATAGATAGATAGATAGATAGATAGATAGTAGATAGATAGATAGATAGATGATAGATAGATAGATAGATAGATAGATAGATAGATAGATAGACAGACAGACAGACAGACAGACAGACAGACAGACAGACAGACAGACAGACAGACAGACAGACAGACAGACAGACCAGACAGACAGACAGACAGACAGACAGACAGACAGACAGACAGACAGATAGATAGATAGATAGACAGACAGACAGACAGACAGACAGACAGACAGACAGACAGACAGACAGACAGACAGACAGACAGACAGACAGACAGACAGACAGACAGACAGACAGATAGATAGATAGATAGATAGATAGATAGATAGATAGATAGATAGATAGATAGATAGATAGATAGATAGATAGATAGATAGATAGATAGATAGATAGTAGATAGATAGATAATAGATAGATAGATAGATAGATAGATGATAGATAGATAGATAGATAGATAGATAGACAGACAGACAGACAGACAGACAGACAGACAGACAGACAGACAGACAGACAGACAGACAGACAGACAACAGACAGACAGACAGACAGACAGACAGACAGACAGACAGACAGACAGACAGATAGATAGATAGACAGACAGACAGACGACAGACAGACAGACAGACAGACAGACAGACAGACAGACAGACCGACAGACAGACAGACAGACAGACAGACAGACAGACAGATAGATAGATAGATAGATAGATAGATAGATAGATAGATAGATAGATAGATAGATAGATAGATATATAGATAGATAGATAGATAGATAGATAGATAGATAGATAGATGATAGATAGATAGATAGATAGATAGATAGATAGATAGATAGATAGATAGAAGATAGATAGATAGATAGATAGATAGATAGATAGATAGATAGATAGATAGATAGATAGATAGATAACGTCGTTTCCTAGTACGTGGGATCGGCCGATGTGTTTTTTTATCATTTGATATGTTAGGTTTGATGTCCCGAAACCGCCATATTATTATTAGAGACCCGCAGTGAAGAGCTCCGAAAGATTGGACCTCTGGGGTTCATTAAGCTGCATCCGAATCTGAACACATAGCCCTACAATATTTTCGCCTCCATCGAAAATGCATGGTATATTTGGTTTTGTTTGAGTAACGCCAAGTGACGGCGATAGCATACCATTTTACCCTACAGCAGCTTATGAAAACTAACCACGTGAAAAGCTCCGCGCTTTAGGGAAGACTGATATCTGTTTGGTAAAACACACTAACAAGCTTGCTGATTGCAACACAGATTTGGTGAGTAAAATTATAAAACAGCGCTTCAACACAGGACACAGGAATAAAGAGAAATTTGTGGTTCAGCGCCACGTCTGCCTCTCTTTTCCTGTGTACAATGTTGAAGCGTGGTTTTATATTGTTTTATATTTTTATCGTGGAACCTCCCCGACTAGGCCAATCATCTTGTCTCTTGGTGTATGATTCATTTCAGCTGTGGCCGTTTTTGCGTAGGACAGAGGGGGTTTTGTGTTACCCGAGCAATATGAAAAAATTGAGATGCAGCAGAATAGTAGCTCTGATTAAATTTCATATTTACATGGTCAAACCTGTGAGTCGGTGCGAAAATTCTATTATTGCGAAATTTCGTACAGGCACAGAAATAAAGAGATGGGCCTATTTGAGGCCTGACTTAGGGACAATTTTGGCAGTACTTGTGTGAGCCAAGCATTGATTAACTTTCATAAAGAAGTCAAGTGTGTGGACAGTTGTTTGTCATGTTCATACCAGGCAAGTTGGAGTGATCGCCTCTTCCACTAGCATGTGCAGTTAAGTTATCGTGTTCTTTTCCTCGTTGTGTGTCTTTTCAGTTGTAAGCCGGCGTTTGTGGTGTCCTTACGCGTCCCCTGTGGTTATGTTCTTGCCCAGTCTTGAAATCTGAGTTCTTTGAGCAGCCCTGTATAACGCGAGCTTAGATTATCCGGTGCAATAGGATTGGGCAAGCCTCACAACAAGTACATCAGGCGCAAGCTTTAAACTAAAACCAACACACCAACGACAGAAAAAAAGAGATGAAAGGAAAGTCAAAGACAAAAATTGAAACAAAGCAAGAGCGAGGGAGAGCGTCAAAAAGAAAAGAGAGCAATGTGAGGTTGCAAACTCATAAATGATAAGACGACCGGGGAAGACAGGAAAAGAGATAGAATGAAACAGACACAGTCAAAGAGAAAAGAAACAAAGCAGGACAAGAAAGTCTTCAAGAGAATTAAGCCCTCGCCGCCTCGTCGCGTGCGCGTGCACGCGACGAGGCGTCGCGTGCGCCTGAAGGCGTCGCGTGCGCCTGATTGCACATTGCTACGATTCCGGCTACTCTCTCACGCATCATTTCTTGGAAAGTTTGAAGCATCCAAAACGTTTTACGGCAGTTGATAAAATGTGTACATTTGATAAATTGAAGAAGTTTCACTTGTTGTCCTCGCGTCTCTATAAAGTTAATTCTACAGCCAGTGTAATGTGCTTCACAGACCGCCAAGATGCTTTAACTTGAAGCTCATTAACCAAACCTCACTTATTATTGCTTCACTCCGGATGTAGTTACCAAATAAAAAAAACGCTGCAGTCTGGAAATAACAACCTTACAGTACAAAGCTAACTTGTTGAAAGTAACGCGTAACAGGTTATAATTCATAAAGGTACGTGACGAATACAAGACACCAAACAGCAAACTTCAATAATTACCGAGCGCTGTGCAGGTAAGCAGGAGCCACAGGGCGGCACTGATACGCCTTCGTTGCAAGCCGGTGGTCGGTCCTCGCCTGATCACGCGCACTTTTCGTGGGGCCATCAACGGACGGCTGGGCTCCTCCTCGTCCGACATGGCCAGGTGATGGAGCCACGGTTCGAAGAAACTATTGACACGGCATACCGTACGGCAAGGCGGACGAGAGCAGTCGTTCTTAAATACGCGAACAGACTAAACCCACTCATAGCAACTTCGGTGGATCGACCTGCGTGCTGCACTTCGTCCTGGGCGTGTCGTGTACAGTGCCATTGTTCTGCGGTGTTGAATTACAGTCGCCCTAGAGCGTCTTCCCCCATCGCGACCCTGCTCGTGATTGTGACTGTGGTTGTACACCAGATGGCGGCTTGCGCCGTTCAATCGATAACGCGAATGCACTATGGCTTGAGCGACCTAGAATAGAGTGTGTGCAAAGCGGCGGCTTTCGCGTGGGCCTTTTGCGATGAACTGCCGCGCTGCGCCGCCACTGCGCCGAATCCTTTGGCTTCCGCACTCGGGAGTGCGCGGAAAGCGCGGGGCGTCTGCTATGCGTTGTCGTTTTTATTGTGATATCAATTATATGGACATTCTCGGCTAAATTTTGCTGCTGGTGTCGGCGTCGATGTCATGCACCGTATATGCATGCGTGTCTATATATGAAAACGGAAGAGAAACAAAATCTAGGAAAATATACTCTGGCGCGTGGAATAGAGTGTGAGACCTCTGCGTCATGAAAGTGAGGCGGTAACGATTCAGCCACCCTGGAGCACGTCCTTCACCGTTAAAATGGCTAGCTACTTATATGTACCACCTACCGCTGCTCACGAGCATCTCAGGAGGTAGAGGGATTGTGATTTCAGGGTTACCAGCAAGATGGGGCAATGAGCGCGCGTCGCCACATTGCACAGCGACGCCCGCTCTAATCTTGTACACGTAATTTGCCCGGCTTAGACAAGGGGAGCGACGCTCCTTCATGCGCCCTTATCTTGTGGCGGCGAGGAGGGGAAGGTCGTATGCCTTGGCTGGCCTCTGGATTTAGCTGGAACAATTCTGCTGTAGTTACCAGGCGCACAAAAGTCAGTGCAATCATTGCGCTCTCCGTTTGCGAAAAGCGTGCGCTTTTCAGACACAGCAAAGTAACAAATGAGACGCTCATTCGCGTGCATCCGTACCTGTGAGTACGCTTTGTGCGTCTTTTGTCCCTGAGGATCGCGGGGCATGTTTTTATCTGCTTACCATACAGCACGTGACCTTTCAATTTGTTGATATCGCGTTCATTGCTGCGCTTTTCGGGCAAAGCAGTGACTTTTTTGCTCTCTGTTTCCACACAGGGCACTTGAAGTCTACTAAACTCTATCAATGTGCTGCGAAATGCAGCTTAGGAATATTTAAGCGTTGTGTTAGTGCCTATGGCCAGAGCACAATGGGAAAAATTTGACATACAACGAACTGTTGTAATAGATCATATGCGAAACATGAATGAAGAGGGTTGATACGTCGCTTTAAAATGAGTACATCATTACGAGGCGGACGTAAATTACGCCATATTTGACTTAATGCCATGATTATCATGTTAGCACCTAGTATTTGTGTGCGTCGTCCATTCACGTCCCGTAATACCAAATTTAGTATATGTGAAGTTAGCGAAACAGCTGCAAGTGTGCTATGAGCGTACCATGTAGTCAAGTTCTACATGCCACACATAGCATAGTTACAATGCTTAGACGTGTCATTTAACTCCGTCGTCCGTTCGTATCACGTAAACCGAATTTGGTGTAGTGAAGCTATCAAAACATCTAGAGCTCATCATGATTGTGGCATGTGGTCGTGTTTTTACATGACTTGGATATTGTAATTGTCTTGTTCGAAACAGTCACATACCTACACAGGATAGCCAGACGGTCTGAGAACTGGCTAACTTTCCTGCACTTCCTCCTTTTTCTCTCCTCCTTTTCATATACATTCGTCATTTATTCATGCAACGTTTTACCAAATTCAGCATATTTGAAGCCAGCGAAATGACCGCGAGCGCACCATGAGCGTGGCGTGTAGTCATCCCTTATATGACAAGCATGTAATGATTTCTACATTAGGACCTGTCACTTATGTTCGCCATGCTCTTACGGAAAAGTAATATATAGCATAGATACAAGTTACATGTAGCCACACATTAATATATATGTCCGCATATGTGGCTACTGTTTACAACATAGGGAGGTACATCTGGCAGGATTGGTTCATATATGGAGTCAAATACATGGCGCGGTTGGTCTATAAAAGGAGTCATTTCTGTTGTGTTATTTGTATACCAGCGCATGAAGGGCATCACCGAGGAACAGACTGTTAGTGACGTCCCAAATTTATTAGATATCAGCGAGTGGCCTGTAGACGTTTAGTATCTGGCTCTTGTTGTTATGCCATGGGAATTGTTTCTTTGTGCTGCAAGCATGCAGTGCCGTTAATAAAGTAGTTCGGTGGAGCCTTGGCCTCTCCATCCACGGATGCAACAAAGTGGCGACGAAGATGGGATTGGACAAGAGCTGAAGATGGCAATGACTCTCAGCAAGCTAACGGAATTTTATCCCGGCATCGGTAGTTTCGGCGTGTTCGTCGAAAGATCCAAGCTGTGCACCCCAGTTATTGAGATTACCGATGTCAACAAACTACAACTGTTTTTGAGCGCCGTCGGAGAAGAAGTGTACGTGACACTCCGAAGCCTGCTACTACCCGAGACGCCACGCACCTCGTCGTACAAGGTAGTCACGTTGGCGCTGAAGAAGCATTATTCTCCCAGGTGGTCAGTGTTGAGTGAAAGATGCCATTTCAGCCAAACGAAACATGCCCTTCAAAAAACTGTCGCAGAATTTGTCATACAGCTGATGAATTTAGCATTATTTTGTGTCTTCAGTGCCTTTCTGAAACAAACGCTCCGGGACCGCCTAATAGCAGGCCTACATTCCAAGGCCATACGTAGCTGGTTGCTCACCATGAGCGAAAACGAGCTCTCCTGCGACCACGTCCGCAACACCGCTATAGATATGGAGACGGCCGCCAAATACAGCGTGTTAATGGTCGCGGAAAACAACGTCGTGCTCTCACCCAGCAGCAGTGAAGTACATTGACAGAGCCAATCAGAAGCATCGCGCAGGTGTTCACAAAGTGGGCTGTGTAGGGGCCATGGCTCCAGCCACATAACAAGGACTTCGGTGACACGGGCTAAGACTATCTGCCAGTGATACGGTGGACAACACGCACCTGTAAGCTGTTGATTTCTGAACAGCACGTGTTATAAATGTCAAAAGAAGGGATATGTCACGAAAGTTTGTAAAAACAGGATGGTTCATCAGCTAAAAAATCAACCCTCGTGAGACACTGAATTACTAATTCTTTGTCACAACAATAATCATTCGAGCAATCGTACCATTGTATTAGGTAAAAGATTAAACGGTAAAAACGTACCCTTAGAACTAGACACGGCAGCGGTAGTTTTTTATATCCTAAGGAGGGTGCGCGAGTAATTTTTTTTATGCAAATTTCAGGCAGCAGATGTCCAGCTTGTTGCATATAACGGAACACAATTTATACCAAAAGTGCCTTTGACGTTGAAATGCAGTATTACGAACAGTGCTTTCATTTTCCGCTAGTATTGCCGAAGAGACGAAATGTGCAAGAATGCCTATGTTGTTTGGACGTACCTGGATGATTAAAATCAAAATTCATTTGCATGAAATAATGCAAGTGACGGCACTGACAGAATAAATGTTCTTGACTGACAAACGCCACGAAGTGTTTGAGCCGGGTTACGGAGCAATAAGTGGGTTCAATGCGAGCATTGTTGGTAAAGAAAGCACTTCCGCTCAATTCTGTAAGCGCAATCTCTGCCTTATGCGCTATGTGAACAAGTCAAGCAGAAATTGACACACTTAGAAAAAGCTCGAGTCATTTACCGGGTGCGGCACAATGCATCGGTGACACCTCTGTCGATTGTGTAAAAAAATGGCAAGGACCTTCAGCTATGTGGTGACCACCATGTTCTGGTAAAGCCTGCCATTGACGTGGTCCAGTACCTGCTCCCTCTGCAAGAGGATATTTTTGCAACCTTACCGGGTGCAACTGTCTTACCAGTTCTGGACTCGTCCAAGGCGTACTTACAGCTCGAATTGGACGGAGGAGCACAAGAACTGCTCACTGTTAATACCCACCTGGGGCTCTTCAGGTTCCCGCGCTTGCCACACGGCGTGGCCTGTGCACCAGCGTTGTTCCTGGCCGTGATGAATCAGATCATACACGGCCTCTCAGGAATGGCCTGTTTTTTAGATGACGTAGTCATCGCAGGGGCAGATAGAAAACACTGCCATGGCAGGTTGGAGCAGGTGCTCATATGCTAAAAGAACATGGCATAAGGGTCAACTCTGACAAGTGCAAGTTGGTGAAAGAACGAATAATACACCGAGGTCATCAAGTTGACCAGATGGGCTGCTTCCTACGGCAGATAAAGTAGCTGCCATCAAGAGGGTACCAAAACCGCGCAACGTCACTCAGCCGAAAGCCTTTTTGGGCTTGGTTAATTTCTACTCTAAATTTTTCCTAAATTTGGCTATGGTTTTAGAGCCCCTGCATAACTTGTTGGGTCGAAAAGCAACATGGAGTCGGTCAAGTCAATGTGATAAGGCGTTTAGAACCCGTTAGGAAGCGCTTACATGCCAAAATGTGCTTGAGTTGTATTATGTCAAGAAAGAAGTACAACTAACGTGTGACACGGTGTAGTATGGTTTGAGGGCTGCTTTTTCGCATGTTGTGGGCGCAACAGATAAGCATCTGCATCACGATCACTATCACAGGTGGAGCTTAAATACAGGTAAATAGAAAATAAAGATACGAGCATTGTGTTTGGCTTGAAGTGATTTTATAACTACTTCTATGGCCAAACGTTTACGATTTTTACTGACCATCAAGCTCTCACTATGCTCTTTGACCCGAAAAGGAAAGCTAGCACTGTAGCAACAGCTACATTACACCAATATTCGGCTTTCCTAGCTAACTACAGCTATACAATTGCACATAAGCCAGGAAAGGCAATCAACAACGTAGATGCTATGTCTAGACTGCCCTTGCCACAGACCTTCGAGCAAAAGGAAGACATTTATTTTGCCTCTCTGAATGAACTACTTTTGACAGCAAAAAATATACAGCGGGAAACGACGCGCGACAGGCATCGTCTCACGCTGTAGTACGCGCAGTAGTGCGCGACATAATATGGCTTGGCTGGCTGGAAGGTGTCCCTGAAAAACTGCAACAATTCTGGGTGCGACA